AACTGCGGCGCGAAGCTCGTTATAGCGAAGTCGAGCTATAAAGCACTGCGAGATCATTCTTGCCGTGCTAAGCCATCTGAAATAGCCGGCGACAAATCCGCCAACAAGCTCGAAGAGACGGCTAGGAAAGCATTCAACGAAAAAACAACCGAACTCATCATCAACATGGTGAGCAACATCCTGAGTCAGGACTCCTCGGCAGTGGTCGAAGTTTGCTAGGTTGTTACGGACAACATGCCGATTTCTCTCGTTGAGAAGTCTGGTTTTCAAGCCTTGGTGTACCATCTAACATGCCGAAACAAGCCTCAGTACGTTATACCCTCTCGTCGGCAAATATCCCGGTAATGAAATACTGCTGCTCCCTATGTACTACTGATGGAAATTATAGTCAAGTCCCGGCCTTCAATATCCATCGGTCGTATTTAAACATTTCAGGTGGCTCAGCGATCGCTTGGATATCTGTACCGCTGGTTTCAAGGGCCTTCAGAATTGTGCAGCCATCGGAATCACTACGGATGTTTGGACGAGGGCTAACAAGGAAAGTGTAGTATTGGTGGAAAAACGACGGCCCTGAAAGGACTAACCAATTCAGGTGCTCTCCTTAGTAGCACACTACATTCATCCGGCTGATCCGGAAAATAATTCGCTCACCGGCTCCTTACAAACAAGGGTCATCGGCTTTGAGACCTTGAGGTCAAAGCACACGGCTGACAATATCAGCTGTCTTCTAACAACCACTCTCAATAAAATGGGCCTCCAAGGAAAGGTACCTCCTCAGACAGGCTACCTGTCATAGACATCCTCTAAACATGTATCGCTGTTCAGGTCGCATTAGCATGCACAGACTCTGGTAGCAATATGGTCAGATGTTTCTCGGATTTGGTCGCATCCGGCACTATGTGCCTTCTCAAACAATGGCTGCCCTGTGCTGCACACCGTTTGCACTTGACGGTGTGTAATGGTTTGGCCCTATATAAAACGAGGCGCACTGAGAAGGCTGGCATCTATGGACATAAAACGGTAGAGGACGGTCTAGCACAAGCGGAAGAAGTTCTGAAGGAAATGGATGCAAAGGATCCCACCGAGGGCGACAATTCCACTAATGTCAAC